ATTATGCAAACTGATTATTTTTGTATAAGTTATTATCAATTTTAATCCACATTATTTATATGTAATTCAAAGTTTGATATATTCAGAGTTACATAAAGTTAAGACTTTAATAACATATGGAACATTTTAATAACTTTATTGGATAATAATATGTATAATGCGTATACTACCATTATATTACTATCTACCTTTTTACAACATTTTATATTAAAAAAAACTCTCAGTTTTTAATTGAAAAATTAAATTAAATTTTGTTGAATAAAATCATTAATAATAATAATTTATCTGTTGATTTTTTCTGATTTTTCAAATTTTTGTAACTCTGCAATAAATTAAGAATTATTATTCTTTTAAATAATATACATGCATATAATTATAAATTTTGTTTTTTTAGACCCTGAAGAAGTTTGTTGATCACCCAAGACCCGTCAGACCCGACATTATTTTGCAGACAAGTACATACCATATAATGCCGCTACCATCTCTCTTTTGTCCCTTTATGTTTCTGAACATAAAGTTTTTACAAAACAAAACAAATCAAATTGACTTAAAACATTTTTTTAGTTGTTGAACTCCATATCTAATAACTACTTAATTGTATATAATATGATCATTACAATAATGTACCTATCTAATATTTAAAGAATTTATCGATATAATATTTTGTATTATTTCTTACAATAATAATATACCAATGTTATAGTATTAAAATACTGTAGCATTATTATTTTTTATGAACATAAAAATCTAAAGTCAACATGTCATATAATTATATTTTTGTAAATAATTTAGAAGTACATTTTTATACTGTACGTTTTTTTTTTATCACATATTAAAAAACAGTTGACTAATAATTTAATTTTGTATGTATCTATTGTTTATTTTCTATAACTGTTTGTAAATTTAAAACCAAATTGAAATTGAATACAACAAATTGAAAAACAATACATTTTATAATACAAATTGAACTAAGACTTATTTTATATTTTAGTTTGACTGTATTTGAAAAAAAAACTAGGTGAAGGATTATCAATAATTATTGACAATAAAATAAAAATTTGTTGCATAATTATTATTTGTATTAGCTTTTTTTTTTTTTTGGAGATTCTTCACCTCAAGTATGAATTGAGTTCCATAAAATATTATCAAATAGGTTCTTCAAAAATAACATTTGATGCACCTACCTATATTTAAATTGTTGATACATTTGATGCACCTACCTATATTTAAATTGTTGATACATTTAATGATTTACTTTTCTTACAATATGATTTATATTATTAGTTATTAAGAAAATAATGATTAACACTGTGATGTATGTTGCGGACTGCCAGGGATCCGGATTGATGGGTTTTTGATTGAATGGTTGAAAAAAAATTCAAGAATAATAATTGCAATGGCAGTTAATTTCTATCGGATCCAAAGTCTCTGTACAGAGAAGGCACTTAAATTAAAAATATTTTTACGATGCTATGATTTTTAATAACTAATGAAAAATGTTTGTTTTGTAAACGAGAGGTGTTCCAGTGCTCCTTTCCCCTGGGTCCGGGCTCCCTAACAAATGGTTTCTGTTTACTTGTCTTGGGCCGAGCTCAAGGGCTTTGGCCAACGTCCTTGTGGTGTCCTTTGAAGTTGTTATTTTCGTAAAAACTATGAGTGGCGGCTTAATGACAGCGCGTGTTTAGTATATGACACACGTGATTGATTTTAAACAACCAATTACAGTTTTCTAAGTATTTAGGAGTTCACGAATTTAGTGCTTAACTAATAAGCTTTTTAATGTTACCTGGTCATAAGTTGAAACTATCAATTATGAATTAATCCTAAAATGGTATATGAATTATAGCTAATATGCATTATTACATTGTTGTACGCAGTGGCATGCTCTAGGGGGGGGGGAGATTAGGGGTTATATCCCCCCCCCCCCCATTGACTTTTTTTTGTTGACTTCAACTTATTAGATTTTACCATAGACATATATAAACATTTATATATGTCTATGGATATTACTTTTAAACATTTATAACTTATATCCCCCCCCCATTGAAATTTCCTGGGCACACCACTGATTGTTCGGTCACAACTGTGTTACTACTCTATCTATTTGTTATAATGATTCGCATAATGCAGTCAGTAAAAACTGTATAACCAGGTACCTTGGTATTTATTATTTAATATTTGTATGATCGTGGTGAAAATGTTTATTAATTGTTTTAGTATTTCAGCATTACAATTGGTCAAATGTGTATAGCGTATAGGTAATAGTGTGAAAATATCTAAAGGAAGATTAAAATAGATTTTGTCACGATTGGTGTTGCAATGTTGCATAAATATTTCTGCTACCAGAAGTTTTTTGATAGTTTCTCCAGATTGTTAAAAAAAAGTACTAGGAATTTTTTACTAGTAATCCTCGAAAATCGAAATACCTCACGCAGAATAAGTCATATTTTTTTCCACCTGGCGGAAGGACATATTTTTAAAAAACCTACTTCTAAACGGACTGAAATTTCTTTTAAAGAGAGACATATCATCAAATTAACCTATGCAGACATGCAGTACCCATTGGTTGTTACTTGTTGGTGTGTTGTGTAATGAGAGACTATATACTTTACTATTGACAAAATATGTGAAATAAATAATAATAATGATAGGTTTCTTTGTCTATTTTTTTTAACTATGTTTTCTTATAATTCGATTACTTTAAGCTTAAATACAATTTTTAATTTTCCAAAAATACTGTTTTTTTCGGAAATATATTATTTTAATATTCTCCAATTTGTTCATGTTTTCCGAATTTTTCTGAATTTCCATTCCCATACGATGATTCTTTACTGAGAAATAGATAGGTATAATAATAATGTTCAAGTTCCAAGCTGCCTCAAATGGTAACCTCCTTTTGGATCTTACGGTAAATGTTAAATTACGTATTATAATTAATTGAGTTTCGTAAATTAAATTGATTAACAGTTAATATAATATATTTGAGATCGAACCCTAACCTCCACCCCACCACAACAAAACGCCCTTAGATCTATCCATAATCCATAACATGATTCACCGTTATAGATTACATGTGGATATTATAAAAAATAATATTATCCATTATATATATCTACCGGCATTCAGTATTCATTTTAACTACCCAGCGTTTTTATAATATTAGCATACGTATTTCAATGACTAATGAGTTAAGAACGATACCTAGTGTAACAAAAAAAATGTACGAAAATCATTTATTCCAACTAGGATTCCAATAGCCCATTAATTTGATTTGGGAGTCGAACTCATAGTTTTGTAATTATTAGTATTAGGTATATAATTATGACCATTATTATAGAACTTAAAATCAATAGGCATCATTAATAATATACCTATCGATATTTCTTGAAAAAGTGTTCACATACCTATACTTACTAACCTAACCTACACACTTCACGTTTATTGAGTTTTTATTTAGTACAAATTATAATTATTAACGGTGTGTCAGTGTATAGCCATTTTAGTTATAATAGGAATAGGTATAATATTTTAAGTTAAGAACAAAAAAATTAAATAATATAATCAGTATTAGTCTATACATTTTTTTTATTAACATTTAATTGTACACCTGCTTGTTATAAGTTTTGAACAAAAAAAAAAAAATATTAACAATATTAATCTTTACAATTTTTTTCATTAACATTGAAATTGTTCAACTTTTAGTGTGTAACTTTTGGTCACGATCACTGAAGGAAACCGGACAAATAATTGAGGGAAGAAACGCTGGTACAGAATCAGAGAATGTGTCCATTATAGCCGTTTTACAGACATATTGCACCAAAGACAACAATAGAGGATTTAGGGCGACGTCGGCGACAACCGAGCCTGCAGGTTGGGTTCTCTTTGGGCCGACCGCGCAGTGCACCACAACTTACGGCCGACTGCGACTCAGTCAGCAATACTCTCGACGGAGCAAGAGGATGTGGTACTCGACGGTGGTTATGGCATGCGGCAACCACAGGAGCAGGAGCAACTACAGACGAGTCTGAAAACCAACCTTTCCCGAAGGACTACAATCACCGGAAATGCCGCCCACCTCCTGGAAACCGACCCGTGTTCGTTTTGTGCGGTCAGCCGGGCGGTTCGGACTAGAAAACTTTTGGCTGCAGACCTAGGTGCGCCTTGTGCGTCGGCCCCGGAGACGGTGACTGGAGGAACTTGGTGACTGTGAAACTGATGGAAGGGTAAGGAGAGTGGAGGTGGCAGTTCCAAGAAGCGCGATACATTTTCAAGAATCCCTGCTAGTATATTGAAAACTTGTCGGTTGCATTTGTATGCTGAAAATATGAAACGAAATCATCAATTTTGATTTTTTTTTCACGATTCTTCTACATATTGTTATAATATGTTGTAACACTCTTAATTCATAATGATGTAAGTATAAACTTATAACTCACTTATAAGGATATTCTATTTGGTACTATATTATATTGTGCTCAAATAGGTACACTTGTTGTCGCGCTTCTAAGTGAACTGCCAATACTTCCTTGGATTTGCCAAATCGCTTTTTACCCCCTTCAGTTTCACCGTCGTCACTTCAGTTAGTTCCTCCTCGATCATGTCACCGCCTCCGTGGTTTCGACTCCCTCTCAGGCACAAGCACCTCAATCTGCAACCTTGCTTTCTCGTCCGATTCGCCCGGCCACTTTCCCGACCACATAGAGCGAACACGGGCTGGGCCGGTTTCCCTCTCAGCATTTACATTGGGTGATCCTTCGCAGGTGGCTGAACTTAAAACTCGTCCTGCCGATCCTGGTCCTTTGTCTGCGCCTGCATGCCATATTTTATTTTTATCACCATCGAGCTCACATCCTCCTACTCCTCCGGTTGATTCGAGTTCGGCCGCATCTGGTTGTTGTAGTACACTGTGCGCTAAGTCGTGGCCCCAACGAGAATGTTGCCCGATCACCGCAGAGGCCCACCAACATCCCGGTTCGACGACCCGCCGGTATGGTCCTCTCGTCATCGTCCTTAGTTCAATATGTCTGATTAAGCTCCACTACCGTTCAATGGACATTCCCCTATGATCTACAACACAGCCAACGTTTCTCATCTCATGCAGTGTCCGATTAGTGAGTATACGTAGGTACAATGTACATGATTCATTTTTTAAACTTTGGTATTTAAATAAACAAATATCGTTACCATGGTCCAACATATATTATTTAACATATTATTTCGTTTTTCATATTTAAAACGGAAAAGTTATTGATTCAACTATAACCAGATGCCTATATATACCTGTGTATTTATGCCATATTAATGTCAATATAATATAGGTAGCATGATAAAAGGCTTCCGCGTATGAATGCAAGTGGGAGCAGTGCCCGTCTCCCTTTAGCTTTTTTTAGGTCAATATTATTATAATTATATACTAAAAAAACTCAAAAAAGCCGCAACATTTTGAATAATGCACTAAATTATTTTTATTTTTTATAATATCGAAACCTATAAGTTAAATGTAAATTATTAATAAATGATAATATACACATTTTAATCTGTGAAAGGGTTGTAAAAATATTTAGTGACAAAATTGAAAGTTTTGAACTTCTTTAATCTGAAATATGCATTGTTTCTTTTTATATTTAGCGATTTAGATCATATATTTATTTACTTATGCATAGAAATATGAAGTTTGTTAAATTTATATAGGTACCTAAAAGTCATATAAAACCTCATACATTTTAAAATAAAATTTTAGATTCAAAAACTTTAAAATGTTCCAATCTATCTATATTTTGATCGTTGCAAGAAAATTTTTTTAGGATATTGTATTTAATACTTATACATAAATTGAAGTCGTCAATAAGTGGTCGCAATAAATGAAAGCCCATGGGCGGATGTGTAAAAAAACACTAAATTTAAATTAGCTGTGACCTTAAAACTAGTTTTACCAAATTCTGACTTCACCATCGATTTTGCAATTCTTAACTACATATACTTCAAAAGTTTAAAACAAGATAGTACTGATTACGATGAGTAATATGTAAATAAATACCTAACATTTTGATTAAGTCAGAAGACAGAAATGTGTTTACTTTTTTAATATCCTAATTTATGTGTGTTGTAGAAACAAGATGCTTATCTGATGCCTGTTTGACGATTGTGCATATTCCAAATTCTGATTTCATCATCATTCTTAACTCGTTAAGAAAAACGCTACACTCGCATGTACCTATATAGTTTTCTCAGTCTTACAAATTTAAAACATAGGTACCTACTACATAGTAAAAACTGTTTGGCGCGGGAAAGAACCAAGGAGGCCGTGAAAAAGTTATTCGAGTTTGAAAAACACAAAAATAATGGATTTTGAAACAGTGTGAACTTTTTCGTATGAAAAATATCAAAAATATAAAAACGTAATTTCACAGATAATTTTCTCAATTACATTGTAAATAGTAAAATTATAACTACACCTCGAGTTCTATGTTCTATCCTCCGTAAAATAATTGTTGCTATGCTGTACATTTTGTTAGACGGAGAGTGGAGACAATACATGTGGCCATGGGTGTAGAATCCTTTAAAAATACGTAAAAAAAAAATAAAAATTCGTTATAAACGCTGGGCGTGGTAGCAGAGTTAGGTGTTGAGCGCATGCGTATTATTATGTCGTATATAAACGTAAAATCGCAAACTGAAAACATTTAACTTCCAAAATGATGATTTCAGCAAAATATATTCTACGCCATCGTTCTTAACTCATCGAAAAACGTATGTTTCAGAAAAATAATGCAAGGTACCTACTACCTAGGTAAAGTAAGGTTCTATTTTATAATATAAGGCTATGGTTATGCCACCATTTTGCAACTCATTAATCAATATATTTTAAGCAATGATAAAATAAACGCGGGTAATTTCATATTCACAGTGATAAATGAATAGCATAATGGCCGCGTAGCATACCTAGCTAAAGTGAATTTGTTCCGCTCCAAGCCTCCATTAATTGTATTTTATTATGATCTTAGACCTTCTCCTTATCATTTTTCGGCAACCTGCCTGTGAGTCGTGACAAAATAAATGTACTCATTATAACTTCTGTTGTAGTATGAAGGCCTGTAACATGTTGCCTGTTAAAATTAATTTTTAAGTATTTGATGATACTCCTGTTTAATATTGTAACCTTTGTGTTGACGTATTTCTGGCAGTAGATAAATACTCCAGAGCTCAGTTCCCAGTTAATGTTCTTTTTACGATTTGGTCCTGATTGTGGCGTACAACAGAGTGTCTATACTCTATAAGCTATAAGTGAATTATCTACATACCGTAAGTACTGATGACTAGTATTTGTATCATCTTTATACCATGTAATATTATGGAATTATTTCGGATAATAAGGTTTAAGACAATAATATTTATAATATATCTCAAACATTCATTTCAAAAGGTATTGACATCAAGTTAGTAAAATAAAAAAATGTTATATTTTGTTCCATAATGTTAAACAAACTATTTTTTTTCTTTTGTACAAGCACTACAATAAAATAATATGAACGAGTTAAAAAAATATATTATTAAAATAAAAAAAAACTCCTTTGGTACCTAAGTTTCATTTCACATTTTCAAATTTTTCCCCATAGAGGCATTTCTAAAAAGTTCTAACTCAAACTCTTCTTATAAAATTTCCAACGATAAATTGATGATAGTTTTAAATGAAGTTTGGAATCAAAAGCTTGAATACAGTGAAACTATACAATTGACCAGTTTTTGTTGGGCAAGGGTCAAGTTAGATCCCACCACCAAGTGAACCAATTGTGCATCTGTATAGTAAAGCCACACTTAATGCCCTTGTGTAAAAGGTTGAGGTTACTTCTTATGTTAATCAGAGCTTAGTTGTATAATAAAAAAAAAAGCAATAACCCAAAAATTGATTGGGTTTATGGAAAATATTTGTAATAAATACTTAATAGAATTGTATATTTTTATCATCTAGACAATTTACTAAGTTAAATCTTCTTTAACAGGTTAACAAAATGTGGACAACAATGAAAACATATTCCATGCATGATGAAGAAGATATTGATGAAATATTATTAAACATTAAGAATGAATTTAACAACGTTTTTGAGTTTAATAGGAAAAGTATTCAAAATTCTAACACGAGAACTATAACCGGTATGGATTTAATTTTGCTCAAAGCAAATCTTACTCCATTACAAATTCAAAAAACAAACTCTTCAAAATCTCTGTTAAGAAAAAACAGTAAAAAGTATTTTGTAAGTTGTATAAACATCAAAAACAATAAGGGTGAATACTTCAGTTCATTAGTGAATAATTTATGTGAAAATGATAGAATAGTTTTAATTAATGGAGTTGTTCTTAAACAGTTTACTATTTGCAATTCTAACAAATTAACTGTTTTAGTCCGACCACAAGACCACTCTTCAGTTATCTTATTTAAATATAAACATTTGTTAGAAAAATCGAATTCCATACTTGAAAAAAATCTTTCACTATTAACTGGTTCTGGTGTTTATTCAATATTTGGAAATATTAAAAAAATCGTAAGGTTTAATGATGATGATGAGGTACTATCATTAACATTACTAAGTTGTGATAAATCCAAATTAAAAACCCTCAAATATTCTCATTTTGGTAGTGGATACAAAAATATAAATAAAGAAACAGCATCTGGGGTAAAATATGATTTTTGTTCAAACAGAGTTGATATTTTAGTTAAAACCCCAAGTAACGATTTTAATTCATTGTCACTTAATCAACGAATAAGCTTAAACGATGTTAAAGTTGAAAATATTAATGATTCAGACATATTTTTACTGCATATGAATGGATATAGTCATAATATTAAAGCTGATCCAATAGAAACTGGTATTGTAAATTCTCTTCGACCTCCTACTAGACATTTTTCAATACCAAGTGAATTAAAACATGCGACTAAGCTTAAATTGAAAAAAATGTCCAATGATGTCAAATTAGTTTTAACTGATAATATTCAGGAGCTGAATACAAATATTTCTCCGTTGGAAACAGAACGTTTAAATGTTCAACAATGTGAACATAATAATATACAATTTGTAAATTTGTCTGATGATGATGATGATGATGATGATGATGATGATATTGTTAATTTGTCACCGTGTCAAGATTTTTTAACATCTACACAGATTAAGAAAAAGGACAATTATGTGCACAGCAGTGCTGGTTCACTTGGCAAAAAAAAAGTTGATATTATTGATGACAATTCATTACCTATCAAACATTTAAGATCAGATAATGAAGTCCAAAAGTGTAATGAAAACTCATTACTCACTTCATCAAATAAAGATACCTTTTTGCAAAGAAACACTTCACCAAGCTCTTCCACAGATGGTTCATGTTCACCTAGTTTCTTTAACAGTCAACCAGAAACATCAACATTAAATCGAGAAACTCAATCAAATAATTTTAAACTGAATAATGTAAATGAACCCACACAATGTATAGGTCCTTGTAGACTTATACATACTGTACCAAACATATTTGATAATAATGAAATTGTTAGTGGATACTGTACAAAATGCAACGCATTTATTCAGAAATGTTACCTCAAATCTATAACTCAATCTTCAAAAGTGGAGTACAAGTGTCCTACATGTTTTAGTATTGTACATCTTACATTTTTTTTTATGATGAATTTCCTTTATGGAAAAAATGATTCACAAGCTATAGAAGTATGCTGTTATGATAAAAACGCTGAACGTATTATTGGAAAGATTTTAAAGATAAAAATGATGAATATTGAAGAATATTTATCAAACCAAAATAATAGGCAATTAGTTATAAATTCCATGAAATCTCTCATAAATAATAGAACAAAAGTTAATATAATTGTTTGTCTTTCACCAGACGATAACAAAAACATACTTCTGGGATTAGACACAAAATATGTTGTTACAACCCCTACACAATAAACAAAATTATTATTTTCTGCTTATTTATTTTATATTGCTATTGTAATTTGTACATAACCCTTATAATTTTTTCATAATGTTTATTAATTGTATTATATTAATTGTATATTGTGTGATTTAAGTCAATAATAATAATTATAATTTTGTCTTGTATAAATTATTAAATTATTTGTACCATATTCATAAATTATGTTGGTATGGATTGTAAAAACAAACAATTCCAACTTTCCCATAATATAGTAAATTAATGTTAAAAAAATTTTTTTTTGTAAATTAAAAAATAATCACATAATACAACCAATCATGGAAAAAATGATATATTTTCAGAAGCACTAATTGCATTGAGTTGGTACTCAATAAGTAGCTGGGGTCCTTCATGCAATCAAGTGCTTTTTAAAATTAAATCCTATATCCCAATTCCACTTGTGAGCTAAAGTTTACAGGGTCTTGTGTACAAATTACAAGGAGGTCAAATGCAAATTAAAAGGACGGATTAAAAACATAAATAGGGGAGATAAATGTTGTCCCCACTTACTGTACTAGACGGTTCGGTTTTCAAGATTCGTTTAGAAATTCATAAGTCATATTCAGCCTCTTGGCTGCCATTATCAACAGGTTTACAATAAGTGTCTATGATTCCCAGTATTCGTTCTCCCGTGTTCGGCCAAATTTTTTTCTATGAGCAATATTGGGATGAAATAAGCTAATAAAATAAAGTTACAATTTTTGAAATCAATAAAATGCAATTTGAAATTATTGCTGACTCAGAAAACAATTTTTAGATTTTTTAATTTTCGGGGGGCTAAAGCTCACCCAGCTACTTCCCATAAATACACCGCCGACCAACTGCAATATATTATGCCATTAAAATGCAAAATTCAAGTATGAGGATAATGAACACATAGGTATAACTACATTATGAGGTTGAGAAAATGCATGGACTAGCTATGCCATGCTATGTTAAAATTCATAAAAAAAAGTATAAACCTACAGAACATTTTTTTAAGGTAATAAAAATATTATTTTAAGCAGGATTAACATTAAGGCATTAACCATTTAATCCTCCTGCTCATTCCTTCACATGTCACTTATCATCATTCATAAGTCATAACCCAATAATTACTCCAATTACTAATTATTGACAATATTTGATTAGTATACCTAAATGAAATAAAACAAAAACTAATTATTCAAAATGACATTTTTATTTATAATTACAATAATATGTGTTTTGTATAAATATAATATTATTTCAATAATTTCACTGGTATTCAATAACTCAATAACTGTACAAAAAAATGTATAGAAGCTGGAAATATAAATCATAATTTTAAAATAATAAGACAACTTATTATTATACTACTGTCTATGCAGCAACTGGCTATGGTAATGTCTGAAAAACAATGAGTGAATAGTTATAGAAATATGGCAACGCATTATCTATAATTAATCGGTTTTAAATTAAATTGTACAAAACATTTTATTTAATGTACTTAGTTCACTATATTTTTAAGTATTATTATCAATCATCAGTAATATAAACATGAGCGGAAGTCCATTAAAATTTCAGGGAAGTGGAGGACTAACATTTTTAACACCAAAGTCTCCCCCTCCCATATTACACCTATGTGAATAAAAATAAATTGTGAAACAAATATTGTTTTGTCTTCTCAGACCTTCCATGACAAGCAAATGGATTAAAAATGGTAATTAGTTTATTTTTACTAATTGTTAATTTACCGTTGTAATAATACAAAGATAACATTGTTGCAATCTATTTATCTAAATATATAATAATTATATTAAAAAGAAATGGAGAGTAATGTACTATAAATGTATAAATAAATGTAGTATAACTATTTCACATCTAAGTTCCTCTTCTGGAAAGTGGGAGGTCTCTTCATTGTGTATTTTTTATCATAATTGTATACAATATAAATCAAGACTATTATTGTTCATTTGTTCAACACATGTAACAGATTTCAGTCTAAATAAAAATTATGTTAATAAATAATAAAAATGTATTATAATAGATTTTATATTATAATTAAGAGAAAAGCAGGGTTGAACTAGCTCATTGGGACACCGAGAGAGAATTTTCTCGATGACTCTTAGTATTAAAGGGGTCGTACCATCATACCTATATTGAACCATGAGTCCGAGGTGATGATCTTGATAAAAGAAAAATTATTTCAATTGTTTTGTTATGGAATTTATATCAATTAAAATTTATAAAAAACCAGAAAAAACTAATAGTAGTGACAGGTCAAAAAAGTGGGACGGGTGAAAAGTAGAATTTCCCGGTACATATTTTGGGGCTAAGAGAAGAGATTCAGTGTATACCACAGATCTAAACATGGTTAGTGTCTGTGATTACTGGTCAGTATCCATCCATCTTTGAGAGATTAGAATATAAACATTTTGCAGAGAAACTAAAATGTATTTTTCTTTAACAAATAAGTTAGTTTTCAAGATGTATGAGATATTGTGTATTTCATACTTATGTTAATAGTTATAAAATTACAATTCTTTTTAAATTTTAAATTTGATGTTACAAAATCTGTTACATATATATCAGAGCAATAAGTGATATATGAAAAATACAATTAAAAAAGACAAGTTTCCCAGAATGAAGAATCCTCCCACTGGAGTAACTTTGACATGGTATATTGGTATTACAGTTAAATCACAAATATATTTAAATATCAGTCATAATTAATTCTTTTCTGCTTAGTAAACATTAATTAATATAATGTATAATATTACAAATTAAAGAATAAATAAATAAATAAAAAAATAATTAATTTCCTACTCGATATATTTGTTACTTGTTTAACTAAGTTAATAATACTAATAGTTTGAATGAATCTGTTCCTCCTAGTATTTTATTTATTTTAATTTTTCAAGTAGATAAAAAGTGGATTTGTTTTAATTTAAAATAATACTTTTGTTGTACATTTAAGGTTTTACATTTTTTCTATTCCAAATGTTGGTTTTGAATACGTTCAACTAGATGAATATTTATTAATTTAAAAAAAAATATTATTATTTTGAAATGGTGAATAGAAAATAATAAAATAAATATAAAAATAAATAATTAAGGAATCAATGAAGTAATTCCCAAAAATAAATATAGTGACTAAAGTTTAAAATATAAAATACTTGAATAAAGTTAATAAGTAAGTTAGGTAACATTTACTGTTTAGTGGATTAAGTAATTTCTCAGCTCAATAAATCATTTATATCAGATAGAGACAACTGCTTAATTTGTGGCTGAGTTTCTTCTTGTTTTATCCATAAATCGTTCCAGTTACTTGCTGAATTATTAAGCGACATTGGTTTAGTTTGTGGGTTAACTGAATTGTTATCAAGTCCTGAAAGTCTTCCTTGAAGACTCATTGATTTATTTTCAAATCCCATTGATTTTGATTGAGATAATGAACTTGTGGTAGGTTTCATCTGATTTAACCAACTTATTTGATTTATATTTGAATCAATCAGAGACGATGTGAGATCCTTGGGTACTGGATTATTTTTATTGATTTTTTCTATGCTTGGAGTAAGGGTAACATCTTGCTGAAACGTACGGAATGGTACATCTTGTGATTTGTTTGTCCTAGAAAGAATTAAATAGCACAAAAATAAATTACAACAATTCTTTGCTCATTTGACAAGCTTATACTTTTGGTAAACAATTTTTCAATTAATGTAAATTTGTAATCTTCAATTATGTTTTTTTTTTTTACTTTTAAGCTTGTGAAAATCTTAAGTCTTCAAAATTTAGACTTAATTCAAAATTAAAATAATCTCTATTTAATTTTAGTAGAATGTTATTATGCAAAATGAGTAATGGAGCTATAATACCTGATTTAATGAAAAAACAAAAAAATGATCATACTTGAACCAAACTAAACTAGCAATTATTTATTTACATCCAAATCCAACAAAATTATTCAAATTGTAAATTAAACTTGAACTTAACTTTAAAAAAATATTAATTAGATAAAATATGATGGAAATTTATTAAAAAAATATTATATTCACTCTAACAATAGTTCTATTTAATTTTTTCTTAAGTTTTTCATCAAATTTGGTACAAATTTTAATTTTATTGGTTAAATATTCAAACATTTCAAACGAATATTAAACATTTTGTTTGGTTTGAAAAAACAAACAGTTTTTACATAACTAACAATGAAGAAAACTGAATTAATTAATTAATTTTTTGTTAATTTAGCTATTGAAAAAATTATAAATTCTTTTTTTTTGTAAGTGGTTTGCTAAATATTACACAATTTATTAGTATTATTTTTAAATTGATTTATGTGACACTTAGGAGTACATTAACCACAATAACAACACATTTTACCAAAACAAAATAAAAAATAATAAATATTATTACCAAATCAACAGTTCCTTGCTCTAAATATGTTGTTTATAGATTATGTAAAAGTGGTAAAATTATTAATAAAATTAAATATAAACTGTAAATATACTTTGATTTGTCATAGTTGGAAGATAAATTAGTTGTTATATCATTGGAACCAGATATTTGCATTGAAGATTTTTCAACATAACTTTCAAATTGAAATTCATTTGTCAAACCATTTGGCTTTGTTGTTGTTCCATTTTCTAAAGTTAAACTATTCGAAATTGATCTGCAAAATGTGATGGGTTATTCATATTAATTGATAATATTCAATATAAATATATACTCAAAAAATAGCAAAATAGTTTAAATTTGTATGTACCTGTGCTGTTCATTTAGTTGTTGTAATTTAGCTCGATGATCAGTTTCAACACTAGTAATCATTTCTTTCACAATTGAAATTAAAACATTGAACTGATTCAGCGTTAGTGTATTTTCAATACACATTGGTATTAAAAAAGGTAAAATACTGAGGGCCATAGTTTCTTTTGTAATATACATTTTTTTGTGAGAAAGAATAATTCTATATACACCTAAGTATACCAAAATTAAATTATTTTTTAATAGAACAAAATAGTAATAATAATTACCTAAAATGCCCATAATCACAGCTGGGTCCTTGGAAGGTATTTGAGGTAAAAATGGAATAATATCGTCAAGTACTAGCCATCTGTCTAAATATTCAATTAATTTACCAATGCAAACAAGACATTTTACACGAACCTAAACAGTTAAATATACATTAAATAATAATTTTAACTCATCATTAAAGCACTCTCATATTGTTTTTGAATTATCTTAAAAAAATAAGAAGTATATATAAATTTGTTTTATGCTTTCAATAAAATATATTCCAAAATATTTTTCTTTTTCAAATTTTCACTTTTAAAGCTATTTAAATAGTTTATAGTTAAAATAGTTGTATTCACATTTTCACAATATATATTTTTAATTATATGAAAGTAAACAAACTAAGAAAATTAAATAAAATCCAATAGTTACTGCTCATGTTGCTTGGACCTTAGGTGCCAAATAGACCCTATTGCTGTGTTACCATCAACATGATAATTGATTTATCATAAGGATGTACACATTTATTGTATTTTCACAATTGTCTTACATTAAATAAAGAATCTTGTAATAACATTAATTTAACTTACTGAAAGATCAGAAGTTGACAAACATAATCTTTTTATCCTAGGTAATAAAGCATTTTTCATGGAAGGACCATCTACGAGAGTAGCTAATGATGGAATCACAGATAGACAAGTTTCTTGAACTGGTTTTGAATCCAATTCCAATGTTTTATACAACATTGGTAATATATCAGATTTGAGATCTTCTAGTGGTGCTAATTTTAATAATAATTCCATTTTTTGGAGGAATATGAAAGGAACCTTTAAAATTGTAACATGAATAATGAATACTGAATTAGTAATGATGAAAAAGTACATACTTGAACTGGTTCATGCACTTTCATTATAGGCTTTAAGCATGGTAAAATATGATTAACAAACTCATCTTTAGTGCAGTTTTCACAGACATAAAAAATATTTGGTAAGACAAAGGGTATCATAACAGGATTAACACAATCTTTTACAAGACAAGGCAGAATCCTAAAAAATGTCATATTAATAATAAATATTATATTGTTTTATCATTATTTATTATAAATTATTGTTACCTGTTTAGACAAATTCTGTGAGGTAATTTTTCCATTATCTGAGGTAAGCCTTTATAAAATTGGGATTTCTGTAAATTATCCCATTGAAAAAGTGAATCCAAATAATTTAATGTTTTAACTCCAACATCATTAAAAAATTCAATCTATAAAAATTAAAAAATTATTAAAACAGTTAACTTGCTGTTGATTTTCTATATGAATATCTTACTTTTAAAAATTCATGTTCATCAGGTCTGTCTTCAGGTCTATAACTTAATAATAATCTCACTGGATCTCGGAGACCAGCATCAACAATTGATATTTTCGGTGTGTTATGTTTCATCTATTAAATTTAAATTTTAGCAAAGAATTTAAAAAGAAACAACTAATTTAATACTTCTTGTAAATTGCGTTTATAAATAGACCATTCGTGATTTGACTGTAATGGTGCATTTCCTTTGTTATAGATGGCAAAAATTAACACTCCCAGAGAATACATGTCATTGGCCTTAATTTGGATGTGATCACAACCTGATTCAGGAGCTAAATAATCTAAAGTTGGTTGTGCCCATGGATGGACATCAACCTTATACTCCCAGCTGGGCCATGTGGGCTGTTGGATAAACAAAGTATCTATATATAAAAAAATGTCATCAACTAACTAAATTGTATGGTCCTTACATTTGGATCTACTGGATTGATACTTTGAGAACAGAAATCAAATCCAAATATTTTCCATGCTCCTTGTTCATTAATTACAACATTTTCTGGGCACAAATTATGATGTAGTAGCTTAGCATCATTGTGTAAAAATGCAAGACCTTGACCAAGTTGCATTAGGCCATACTTAATATCAATATCAAATAGATTGTAATCTTGTAGATTTTTGGACACTGGCTGAGGTGTGTTTTCCATCTTACCAAGTACATTAGCCAAACTACAAAACACAGGTTCTGTAGCAAATGCCAAACTTTCTCTGAAAATGTTAGACTATATAAATAAATAACTTAACATTCAATACATTGTAATCGTATGAACCTAGATTCTTCTAAAGTATGTTGAACAGTTAATACTTGAGGATGTTTGAGTCTGGCTAGTTGGGCAACACCTTTTTTGACAACCTCTATTATGTGTTCTCGTTCAGTTTTTGACCATTTATCTAATAGTCTCTTTTCTAATACAAAAATAGATGCAGGTTGTTGCGTTGACTTTTTATACCCACTGTATATTTTCCAAAGTAATCCTAATTTCATAAAAAGAGTTTAGCATTACCAACCACAATATTAAATAAAAAAATATGTAACAAGTCTACAGTGATATTAATGAAATAAATAAATAGTACATACCAACACCAGCACTTGCAATATGTTTGGTAGCTTCATACTCTCTTGTAACAGGATTGCCAGGTAGAACTGTTGACAATTGTGACATTGTACTTGTAACTGTAGAGCGAAATTTATTGAGTACGTCCATTTTTGAGGTGTTTGAAAAACAGAATTGAAAATAAAAATTTTAACTTGGGTTTACATAGCACTGGGCATCCACATCTTTAAAAAATCATTACACTAAAAACTGATAAAAATATTGATAAAATTTTTTGTGATAATGGAAGTAAGAAATCAAGTCGAAGAATAGATAGAGAATAGATAATGTAGAATCTTTGCACGATTTAAGATAACTGTACCCACTAGGTATCTTAAAATATAGATCATGAGTCAATGGTCAATGGGTATCACAGATTTCTATTTTCTAATTTTCTATACTACTTCTGTGCTACCTATGTAGAAATCTGTGATGGATTTAGGAGAACTTTTCCACAGAAAGACAATCATATCATTGTATATATCTGTGGTTTTAATAAAAACCCTTTTTAGATTCTGAACATATAAAAAAGTTTATATAATATGTCTATGGAGCTGAGTGATGGATGTAGTGATTTTCTTATTTACAATGATGATGTGTGATTTTTGTGTCTGTGTACACGATAACTAGTCGAAATAATGCTTCGATTTTCAACTTCAGTAGTTCAATATTTTTTTGGAATCTAGTTGGTGTATTCGGGAGTTTCAAAATTTAAAATTCCCAGTATTTGCTTAGTTTACAAAAGTGCCAAAAAAATATTTAAAAAAATTAAGGAAGAACGGGGAATTTTATGATCTCTGGTGTAGCTTTAAAAACAATGCCCGTAGACGCATGACATTTTCAAAATATTTTTAATTAATTTTGAGTTGTTTATAAATATAAGACATTTTTATGAGTTTATTTCTATGAGTTTCATTTCTAGAGAAAGAATATTTGTTGTTGAGTCAAAAAAGAGTGAAAATCCACGATAATTTTTTATCATCTGAAGTTCGAATACTGACAAAATTCGTAAAAATCACTAAAATTTGTAAATTATTATTTTTTTTTTTTTTTCTATTAAATAAAAGTGTATTTACAATCTATACATACAGCAGTGTATAATAAGTAAGTGTGGTGACTTAAAGAATATAACAATTAAAAGAGAAGGAAGGCTCCCAGCAATGCCACCTGACAAGAAATTACGGTTTGAATTTTATTTGAATTCATTTTATCATAATTATTTTTTTATTTTATTTTTGTTTTATTTTTTTTTTTTTTTAATTAGGTATTGAGCAGATCTCTTGGCCATTGTCTTTTTAACCTTCTAGGAATAATAGAGGCAGAGGATAAACTTTTAATTATAGGGTTTGAGTGAGCGCGGAGGGTTGAGTGGAATTTTGAGTAATAGGATTTGGCTAAGTCGTTGAGGGTTGGTAAGTTCGTAAATTATTTTGAGTTTGAAATGCAAATATACCTGAAATGCCTTATATTTTTTTTTATATTTTAAATTTGAAAATTGACTACAAGATTCTTCATAAGTTTGTCTACCTTTATCAAAATGCCATTTGAAGTTCAAATTTTTACAACATTACCTACCTAATAATTGATATTAACTCTATTTCTCATGCAGCGATTTTTTTATTTTTTTATCCGTAGACCGCGCAACCATGGTTGTAATTCGTATAAAAATAAAACAAATAACTGCAGATATTCAAAATGTAGACCGTGTGCTTATTTTATCATTTTCTATGCCTCGATTGTATTTTCAAAATATTATTTTGACTAGTTTTGAGCTGTTAACGGACATTTTCAATTTTTTTAGTTTTTTTCTTTGATACATTTTTTATTTTATTTACTTAAAGTTCTAGTTCGAGGAATATACAAATATACATATTATTATAATGGATTATTACTAGAAGTTACTCAACACTGAGGCGAACTCGTGTCACGAAGTAACAGTATACTTATTTTATTTAATTTTGAATTTAGTAACAATAAAGAAGAGAGAAAAATAAAAATAATAATTTTAATAATACAATAAAAAATACCTAAATAAGTATTTAAAGATTATTATAAAACCAATTTTTTTAAATTTATATTTAATGTGTGAATAATTTGAACAGATCACGTTTTGAAATCTTAAACCAACTTGTCAAAGAGACGAATCAAATTTCAAGATTATTTTTTCCGAAGTCATATTTTTGTTTTTTAGTTTTAAATAAATTGCTTTTGTAAATAAAACTTATTCATTGTTTTTTTTATAAATTATTAATATCAAGTACACCTACGCTTAACGTTTCAAAGAATTGTCAAGAAGGGAATGTTTTATGTTTATTTAAGATTATTTTTATTAGGTTCTTTTGTATAATTGACTAATTATATTTTAAGGTGGTTACAGCACCCCAAACTATTATGCCGTATTGGATCAATGATAAAGCCATTTCAAAATAATAAAATATGTTATTCCAGGTAATACAATTTTTACTTAGTATTTTTTTTTGCTTCAATGAAAAAGTATGCTAACATGCTTACAAGTGCATAACATAGAAATGTACGCTCAGCAGATCACGTTTAGCTTAGTTAGTTTCAAAATTAGATTGAATTGACCTACTGTAAGACTTAATGGTAATAACATTATCTGCGTTTCTGTGTTGGTTTTTCACGATAGTTCAGTTTTAAAATGAGTTATGAGCATTTTTAATTCACACTATATTACGCAGAACTTGCTAAGAAATTTACCTATCGTAAATAACTAATATACAAACTCAGATTATATTCTTAGGTAGTTTCTTACCATCAAGTTTCATACAAGGTTGATTCACTCTAATTTTTAAGCTATAATGAAGCTACACGTGATCTATGTTACGAATTTGTAAGACGGAGAAAGTGATAAGTGTTACGTCCTCTTAATGCAGCTATACCTACATATACATTAGGTATGTATACAATTCAAAGTGAGATAAATATTTTCCACAGAAACACACGATCGTGAATTGAAGCCACAGAATAGATTAAATCTATTCTGTGCTGAAACCTTACCTAGATCATATTTTATAATAGATAAAGCTACAGCGTACAACTCAGAATTCAACAAGTTGTTAAGGCTCTCAGCCATATTTCATAATGCTCTTAGCTCTTAGTTACTGAGTACTGGCTAGCGACTATTATTATTTTTTAGATTCTACTGACTATATTATACAATATGGCTAAGTGAGTATTATGCTAATGTTTGAAGAAAAAAATAACTAAGTGGATTTGGGACAATTAAAAGCACGAACGCAATTTATATCACGGTGTTTAATACGGCTAAATAAATAATAAACAATATTATTTTTTATTTTTATTTTTATTAGCTTTCAGTTAACAACTATTACGACTCAACAATTACATATAAGTATATAACTTAATTAAACAAAAAATTACATTGAGAAAAAATGCTAAATTTGCTAAATAGCAAAACTAGCCTCTAAAATAAAATTGATTATTTTGTTGAAGACTATTTCTGAATTGGTGTTGAAAATGGAGGTAAGGTTAAGAGGGATATTGAAGGCACTAAGGGAATTGAGTAAACTTTGGCGTTTAGAGTCTATAAGGATGGACAATGAAAAAGTAGAAGTTGGAGGTCACATAAGTGAATTGTTCGGTAAGACTGGTTGGGGTAATCAATATAAGATTTAATAAGAAAAACGAGAGGAGATAATTTAGAATTAAAAGGATTAATAGCTAATACTATAATATTATGATATATAATTATTAATTTATTTAGTCGTGTTTTCACTAATAAGTTATTGTCATAATTCATGAACATTAGAGAATGTTGATGCTTTAAATGATATTATGCCATCGAGATAGATAACCAATACAATAATTTATATTTCTCGATGGTTCATGCTAATAGTAACGACTAACGACCTTCTATCATACATATTATTGTCTTATGCTATTATACAATTTGTAAATTATGATCAAAAGTCAATAACTAATAAATAATTATTATGTACCTCCGTGATAACGATAAGCGCCAAATATGTTTTCGTCATAGACCTTATAATTATTATATTATATTATTATATATTATTAGTATAAGGTCTATGGTTTTTGTTAAAAATTAGGAATACCCGCGCAATATATTTAGTTTTCTCTCTTCAGTCCATAGACCTAAAAGTATTAACACAGAACAATGTGCTATTCACTAATAGACTGCGCCTTCCTCACCCCCAACCGAGAGAATAACTAGGACAATCGACAATATCTAATAAATAAAAACTAAAAAGAGGTATTGTGGAAGAGTTAGTTAGGTAAAAGGTTTATGCTTCAGTATTCCTAGACATGAATGTATATTATCATAATATGTCACTATCTCTGTCAGACCCACGCGCAACATAATATAATAAATGGATTTATTGTAAAATCGTTTTTACATGATTTTTTGAGTTATCTCAGGAGCTTACTGCTTAGGGTATTTGACATAACCTAATTCAAAGATAATAGAGGTTAATGATTTCGAGTGTTTGCATTTTGTTATTATTTAATTCATTTATTATAAGTATATATAAATATATAATACAATATTGAAGGAGTGAAGTATATTTTTGTTACTACCGCCGAAGCCAGAAATATGTTTATCAATATTTGGTACAATCACAGCATAGGACGCTAAAATAGCAGGCTGGTAGATACGCGTCGGAAATCATTCTGTAATCAGTGCTGAAAATTGAAATAGCTACTTCCATATTGTAGTTGAAAATGATTTAAATAACCGTCTCGAACTCTTGACTTTTGATCGAAATTTTAGTTTTAACTTTTAAAATTTAAGCACAATCGAAATATTATTGAATAGTGCGTATCGTAAAATTAACGAGTTAATAACGGTATTCACAATTATTTTTGATAATTATTTTATTTAATGGTAAATTATCATAATATTGATAATGACTTTTTACCGCTAAAAAGTAGTCATTGATTAAAATAAAGTAAGATATACTGTATTCATAAACATTTATAATAAGTAATAACAAGTTATCAGAAATTAAATTATTGTTTATTATGTTGCTATAATTCTCTGAAAATATTACAAAATACAAATTACAATAATAAAACTGTAAGTACATCTACCAATATTTCAATAATTACTTATAGGTTACACTCAATAGTGTCAATGTTTAAATAATTTGACTACATTATGTTTTGATAAATATTATGATATTAATTGTAATGACCTTGCTTTGCTTAAAAATTCAGTCATTGATACATAACATCCACCAAAAATCCGTTTCCCTGTAAAAGATGTTCTGCCATGTAACACTCTCCAATTGTTATAAATCATTACAGTTCCGGGCTGCAAACAATGATTCCAATACATTTCTTCTCTCTCTAATATTTCTATAAAATGAGCATAACTTTCGTAAAACTCATTAACACGTGATGGTGGTAGTGCACTGCGGTCGTATATATTGAATCTGTTTTTTTAACATTGTCATAATTATTGTTGCTCAATTACTTATATAATATTAAATAATAATAATATTTACCTTATTTGATATACTTCTTTTGTAGTAGGATCAATTTTTATGACTGGTCCTGTACATTTATAGTGAAAACCAGGTTCTATATATTCAGATTCTATATCAATTTCAGTAAGATATTTAAAATGTAATGGACTTTCTTCTTTTAATATTTCTGCTACTTTAAACCCATCTACTATGGTACTTAAACCTCCTTCACAGTTAATGTCCCTTTCCAACATATGAAATACTTGGAGACTGAAATATGAAATTATGTTAGGTACTTACGAGGTCTTATATTATATAAATTAGAAAAATCTGAGTCATTAATTTTAAGATTATTCATTCTATATTTTTACCCAGTACTTTCATTGAAGTATGTGCTATCGTTGTGTACTATTAATGGACCATTTAAATATGCTGGATCATTATGATTTTCATTAATTCCAACTGTCCACATTGTTCCAAATAAGGTTTCTTGTGGTTGTGCTATGAACCTAACTAATTTTTCTGTAGCTTCCAATGTTGGTTCTACCTAAGTTAATATAATAATTTACAAAATGTAGTGTGTTTCCAAAGTAATAAAAAGTCATGATAATTAATAATTAGTACTCATAATAGTATTATAGTCAGAAAATATTCCTACATTATTTAACATATAAGCATGTGTCCCTCTGAAAATCTCAGAATTTTATATTATGATGTATACATTCGTCATACATAATTGATATCACGTATTATGCTATCCCCATTACCTCCCTTATTGTTAAAGTCATACCCGTGGTACTATTTCTTTAATATTGTTTATTGAGTTTCTTTTTAGATTTTGTATAATTTATTGAGGTAAAAAACTAAAAATAAAATCAATGAAATGTACTCATTAAAGGTGCCATAGAGGGAGGCAAAGTGGTCATGCCACCCACCTATCAGCCATTTAGGTTAGGTAAAATAAACCAAATCAATTCATGAATTCAAAAAAATATATAATATCTTAATACATTTTACACTTTTTTTAGTAACTACTTTATTTGTACGTGTGATTTTCAATTTTTATTATTAATTCTATTATTATTTTTTAAGAGAATAATATTTAACTAAATATCTTATTTTTTTATTCAAATTAATTTGTAGGTACTTATAAAATTCAAGTGACCAACTTACTCTTATTAAAATAAAACGTTATAATAATATAATAATATATACTTGCATTTATTATGATTCCTACACCATATTTTAAAATTGATTTTATCAATTCTTTTTGACCTTCTTTTAGAGTTAGATCATTATAAGATACTTTTGATGGTAGTTTCTCAAGTTCTTCACCAAAACAAAGGTTTGGTTCAATTTTTATTCTATTTCCTGTCCATGTGTCAATCACCCACTTAGTAAGATATTTAGATTTATGACCATCAGACCCTAAGATAAAAAAATATATATTTTAAATATGGTTTAAATTTTATCTAGATACTTAAAATTATTTTTAAATATAAAAATCTAACACTTTATGAATAAATTATTATCTGCTTGTGTATAATCTTGGATTTTAATATTAATTGATTCAAGGAATTTTTGAGTAGTTATTTTTCTATTATTATTGGTATGATCATAACATTCCGAACATCTGAAAAAAATTTGATATGAGTAGGTTTATTATATTTATAAGAATTATTTTTTCTTTCTATTTAAAACTAATAGAATTTAGCTTATGATTATTTTTACCTGCAATTGTCTCGTAACCATATTATGTTGATTAGAATATTTTCATTGCCAGTTTTAAGTTGAACAGTCATTTTATATATTACTTAAAATGTAGAAGTAATATTTTCTTTATTTAGTTTTAATATGCTATAGTTCAAGTTGTATATATAACAATTATAGTAAAAATAAATAATGTTACTAGTATAATCTCTATACAAATATATTAATTGTATACATAATAATTTACCAAATCATCAATGTCCATGTCTATTTGAGTTTATCATTAGTTCAGAGTGAAGTAGTAGTAGTTACAATAGATAAATATATGTTCCTACTGTAGAGTTAACACTTAATTTAAACATTTGATAAGTAATAATGTGCAATAAATAATTAGGTTCTAAGGTTAAAATACTTTATAATCAATAAAATAAAATTATAGATAAAATACCTACATAGTTGAATTAATTTTAATACTATTCTTTCATATTTTTTACAATAGTTTCAATACCTAAACTATATATATAATCTATATAAATATAATCTAAATAAAGATTAAAACTTAGTTTTAATTTTAATGGTTTTAACTTTAATATTTAATATTACATAATATGTTTTTCCATTTTTCAAAATACACTTATTTCATTCCACAACTATTAAGAGGACACCACACCCACATGTGTTGTCTCCGTCTTACAAACTTACAGCATAGCAAAAACTGTTTTGCGCCACACAACTTTTCTCCCTCTGTATTTATAGTAGAATTACCAAAATTCCTTAATGCATAGAGAAAAACTTTATCTGTGTCATAGCGTTTTTTTTATTTTGGTACTTAGCACTAACCAATCATTTTTAATAATTGAATGAAAAAAACAATAAAATAACTTATATTCTTAAACTGATAACTTTAATTGTATTTATGTTATCCAAATAAAAAAAAACTCAATAATACAGATGAAGTTCTTCCCTAAGGGCCAGTTGCATCATCTCTGATTAAAGTTAACCGGAGTTTAATCGTCCGAATTTGTCCGGTTAAATATCTGTTATCAGCTGATTAAGCTTAATCATAGTTTAATCGTAGACGGTGCAACTGGCCCTAAGTGTTGTAGAATTTTGGTAATGCTACTATAAATACAGAGGGAGTAAAATTGACCTGCTCAAAACAGTTGTTGTTATGTTGTACGTTTGTAAGATAGAAACAACACATGGAGGTGTGGCGTCCTCTTAAAAATTAATATACAATGACTGAATGACATGTAGATTAGTTTTTGAGCTGGTTATCATCTGCATTTTATTTTACTTATCTGAGCCCTGAAGTATTTATTTTAATAAAATAAATAAATATACTAATAAATTCCAAATGAGTTATTTGTTTTTATTGTTACTAGAAGAAAAGCAAATGCTCGCCAAAATCATGTTCCACTATAAATGTAGAAACAACATTTATCCTAAAACAGATGGAAAAATTGTTCGATTTCATGTGCCAGATGATAAAGTTAGTTGGCATTCTCTATACCCCTCATATAATCCAACATTGTTTACATCAACATGTATTGTTGGTCAACCGTGGGCTGATCTAGATTTGAATGTATCTGACTTCCAACCCAATTGGAATTCCATTGATGGTTATGTTAATAGAATTAGTTTGACTGGAATGTATGAAATTAAAAATGGTTATCCCCTGAACCCTTGTGGTCGAACTGGTGTAATTGGCCGTGGAGTTCTTGGTCGTTGGGGTCCAAATCATGCCGCTGATCCAATTGTTACTCGTTGGAAAAAATCTAAAAATGAACATGTACTTAATGAAAATAGTGATAAACCTATTCTTCAGTTTGTTGCTATTCAAAGAAAAGATTCTGGTGAGTGGGCATTACCTGGTGGTATGGTTGATTCTGGAGAAGTTATTTCAACTACTTTGAAGAGAGAATTCATGGAAGAAGCTATGAACTCGCTGCAAAAATCTAAAGAAGATGTTGTAAAAATAGAAAAAGAAATAGAGAAAATATTTAATGAAGGTGTAGAAGTTTTTTCTGGATATGTCGATGATCCTAGAAACACCGATAATGCTTGGATGGAAACCATTGCAACTCTTTTTCACGATGAGAAAGGGGATCATGTAGGAATGTTAAAACTTCACGCCGGAGATGATGCAGTTGGAGTGAAATGGGTAGATTTAGATAGAAATCTGAAATTATATGCCAATCATGTATCATTTTTAGAGGCAATTGCTACCAGATTAAAATGTCATTGGTGATTTAATTGAATTCATATTCTTATATTCTTATTAATTAATACTTATACATAGGTACATAGTTAATAATATTCAATGGTTTGAAAATATTTCCTGTACAATTTAAGATATATACTAATCAACAATTTTAATAAATAAATATTAATAAACTTATATATACAACTTGAATGATGCCGTTTCTTTTATTTTATTTTTCAATTCAAAACATTTGTTATCTATTATTAAAGTTATGAAATTATTAAGATTTTAAGTTAAAATCGATAAAATATGCAAATAAAAAAAAAAATTAAGAAAAGCATATTAATTATTAGTTACATAATAGTGTATTAGTATAAAAGATATATTTTTTTTTACAAAACAACTACACATGATGATTTAAAAAAAGTTTGGAAACTGGTGAAAGTTCATTAGACTCATTTGTAAGGAGGTAAAAACTTAAGGTAAAGTCAGTGTTTGCTTATTATTGTTTTAAATTACGTATTATTAAATATTTAAAAAAATTTTAATGGTAAGAAGTTCCCATACTCACTTATGTTGTCTCTGACTGAAATTATCATAAATTATTGTTTAGCATTATCCCATATTAGGCATACTATAATTAAAAACAAATGTCTGATTATAGATTTTGTATAAATATTAAATTTCAAAACATTCTATACACTAGAAAATACAGCTAGAAATAGTTGTTGGATATTTTATCTTTCAAACTAAAAATAATAACACAATATTGACAGAAACCAGATGAGTAATGTGAGATGCCTATCCAGTGTTTGTATAATATTATGTTTTAATTTATTACTTAAAGGTTTTATAAAAAATAAACTAATTATTAATAATATTTCAAATTTCAGAACTTGTACTATTTATATTTTAGTTCTTCAGGATAACATATACAATATACGACAATGTTCGATCTTTCAAAAAATGAATCAAATGGTACTTTAATAATTTATTAATTTTCTGCTAATAAAACCATTAATGTAAATATCATAAATATTTTTATTTTCAGCTGAAATTTCTGTACGTAAATATCAAGACGATAGTGATTTTGATGAAGCTTTCAAAAATTTATTACGGCCTATCGAATCACTCACAAAAAAAAAACAATGTGAACCTCTTCAATATGATCTTATTAAGGTAATTCTAATCCTCAGTATGTAGAAAATAATATTTCACATGTAGGTATGTATAATGTGTTTTCATTTCAGGAACTGGATTCGTTTTTGCATCACTTGAGATTATCTACTGATGGAGGTTCTTTAGTATTTGTAGAAGCTGCATTAATGATTCAAAATGTCATACTTATTTATCAAAAAAGAGTTGATGAATTAATTGATGTTATGATGAAACTTATTGGAAAATTCCGAGCTTAGTAAGTTTTAATTTCATGTTCACTATGTATATTATCTGGTTCGCTGTACCAACCAACTTTATAACATCATAGATACATTTTCTCTCTAATTCCTTATTGATCGGCCCTGGGAAATATACGTTATGAATAGAGACTGGATTTAATTGCATTGAAAACACTCACAAATTGCATATTAAAATTGTATAATTGCACAAAAAAATAAGTAAGAATTGCATAATAAATTGCACTATAGAAATTCGAGTTATGTAAAAAAATTAGATAAATGTTACTTTTTTTAATTAAAATTGATTACTAGATACATTTCCAAATTATGTTCATTAAAATTAAATCTTCTATTACTTAGAATATGTTTGTACAAAGAAAAACTATGTTTTACGCTTCTGCATTAGTTATTGGTACATATTTAAAACAATTCGATAAGGTAGGCGTTATTTCTAAATTTACATCTTTTTTACCTAACAAGTGCCATAACTTCGTAATAAGATATAATAGTTTTATAGCCTTCATTTTTTTCATTTATATACATAAATTTATCTTTAACTTCTTTATCTTTAACTTCTCTTCTATCTGGATCAGTAATATTTGTTAAAATATCTTCAGTTTTTCTCAACATATTCATGCTTTCAAGTAATTCATTATTTGATGTTCCAAGTTTTTAAGATTAATGGATAACTCGGATAAGTGTAATTTTATGAATGCTAAATCACATTTTACTGTTTTATTTTGTACAAGTTGTTTCAGCTTTTCCCCACTGATAGTATCAACTTTTAAATTTTCAATCACATTTTGAAATTTTTCAAAGTTATTTGCATAGAAAAGTGCAGCATTTGACCATGTTCCCCACCTTGTAATAATAGGTTTGAGAGGTAAAGGTGTACCCGGCACACGATAGACGCACTGGTGGCTACGCCGAACATTCTAGTAAACTAAAATTATCCATATCGGATAATAGGTACCGATAATAATAAAATGATGTATATACTTGTATATTGATTATGACTCTTAATAATGGTTTTATGGTACAACCATAGATTATCTACTTACAAGTTACAACTAAAACTTGGTATGTCCTAATAGCTTTTTTATACAATAAATTTAGCTGAGTTAAATATTTTGTTCATTTAAATACACGAAATAGTAAAAAATTGTAAAAAATTGCTTTTTTAAAATTGAATAGGCATAACACATAAAGTATATATCTACTATACCAGGGGTGGCCACTAACCTTAATTTTGGGAGCCGCAAATTTCTAAAATTAATTCGGGTGAGCCACATTGTAAAGCAATGTTTGTAAAACGGAGGAACTCTGGCGCGGTCGAAACACACAGTGATTATTTTTGGCTACCTACACATATTAAAAGCTCTGTCACCGTCGCTACAGTGACAATCTTTAACTAATAACGACTGAAATGATAACAAAACCGACGGCAATAAAAACCACTATCTTAAGGTTCTAATGAAATTATATATTTATTAATTTTAGTTAGTTATTTATTTATTAATTTTATCCTAACCTAAGTTTAGTTCAAGAGCCGCACAAAATTGATTTAAGAGCCTCGTTGTGGCCACCCCTGTGCTATACATTTGATCAGATTTGGTTTATCTTAACTGCAAAAAAAGTTGCATTATCAATTAAATTTGGTCTTTAGTTATGAGTTATATTATAATTTATTATAACTATCTATTTTTGAAACCCTACTTTTTATTACAGCCATTCTCCAAACGGAAGTAAAAATATGATTTTTGGAATTTTATTTTTATTGATAGCATCTGATTAACTGCATGGTTATTAGATGGTTTTAACTGTGGGGGAAGGTACTGTTGGTTCAGAACACGTGTATGAAAGGATTTGTCACCAAGAACCAGGGTGGCCACCCATCTTGGAACTTGTGACAGTGGTTGCTTCTGGCACTTGGAAAAGGTTTGTGACTGAATCCTGACTGAACACTATGCTAAACCAAGCCACAAAAGTATTTTCTTTTGCTATACCTAATGAGCTATTTAATTGTCCTCTTCTTTTACAATAAGTGTCCAGTGTGTACCTTATTGTGCTATCTTTTTAATGGTAGCCAAGTGGCCGTAGCATCCACATACATACAACTGTTTAACTTTCAATACTATACCAATATTAGGTATTGGTTTAATAAATTAATAATTTCTCCTTATTACTAGTATTTTATGTTTTGATTTATAAGTTAAATTTTTTGAAATCTAAGTTCTAGTTGGTGTATATTATAATATTTTTACCATTATTATGATTTGATTATAAATGTAAATAATAATAAATATTTATTTGTTATAACAGTCGAATAAATGATAATATTAATGCAGATGATTTTGACACTGAGAACGAAACAGGAAATAAAAAAAAAAAGAAAGAAAAAAAGGTGAAATTTTATTCTTCTTTTGAACCAATTAAAGAGCACATTTTTGGAACATGTAAGTTTATTTGCCAAAATTATGACCTCCAATGTAAATGTTGTCTAATTGTCAATGAATAATATAAACTTGTACATTCTTTCATAGTAAAAATTTATGACTGCAAAGTTATAAATTTGAGTAAAAAACCACCTGTACAAAGAATTGTACTCAATGCTAATATAAAAGTAGATAATAAGTACAGTAAAATATTACCTTATATCTGTATTGGAAATGGAGATAATATTGGAAAGAAATACGACTATATGTAAGAATATTACTGAAAAGAATAACGTATGTGGATTGAATTTTTTTTGATTATAATTATTTTTTTAAGGATAAATTATCCTTTAAATCGCGATTTGGCTGTAAATGAAGAATTTGATTGTCCCACTAATGAAGATCCAAAATCTGCAACTCCTCTCAATTATCGAAAGAGCACTGACCCAGTATATTATTATTATCAATTTAAATAGCTTAACCATGTTTTTTTTTTAACTGGATGATTATAACTATTTAGTTGCCAGTGAATTTAATGGAAGTCGATGAAATCGATGAAATATTACCGAGTACTCCCGACCCAGTAATTTTTGATCAAACTGTTACTGACGAAGTTTGTGTTGCTAATGCTATGCTGCCAAAGTAAATAAAATACTTTTGAGTATAAACTTGCACTTTTATGATAATGCTTATATTATTTTATAGTCCAGAAAATATATTAAATGTTAGCCAAATTCCTCAAATGAATGATGATGTATGGGATCCAGTTTCAAATGCCAAGGATAATAATTTTGTAGACAAACCTTGTGTAAAGAAAAGAGGATCTAAAAAAGAAGTATGTAAACATTTATAGTACAAATAGTTTTTGTAGTATTTGGTTCATTGTGCTCATTTCACTCTTAAAAAGTCACTAATGCTTAATGTGTTACAACATTTTTTGTATGTATATTTTATTTTTTTGATCATAAATGTGACATTCACATCATAGACTATTTGTTTGTTTTACAATTATAAATATAACTATGACATACACTTTAGTTTTGCTTTTAAATGTCTCAGTTGTTTTTTTGGATTTAGTCCCAAGGCCACATCTAAAGTGCTAGGAATACATTTGTCCAGTTCCTTTTGTTCAAAAATCATATTATTCGATAAGCGTTGACAATTTTTCAATTATTTTTTTATAATGATTGGCTTGAATCCTTCAATTGAGTGTTTATGTTTTCCTTACTTTAGAATAGATATTATATTTCCCTTTTTCTGTGTTATATAGTTGTAAATACTTAAAAAATTCTTCACTATTTTTTAGTTTAAGGCTATAAGTG